TCTGCTTCCTTTGGGTTTGTATATTTGCCCAACAAGAAAGAGGGTGGATTTTCATGGCCCCTAATGAGGACTTTGGTATAAGTTGTGAGGCATCAGACATTTTGGTGAGAAGAATATAGTAAAAGAAAAAGCTAGCAGGCGGATTTTCACCTTGCTTTGGTAGGGGCAGCAGGCACTGCTGTCTGCTCTGGAGTGTCCCACAGAGTTGCTTTTTGCTCCAGGGCTCAGTGCTGTAGGGCGTCTCTTCCTCCTGGAACCCTGCCCTCCGTCTGAGGTCGCAGCCCTCAGTCACCTTCCTCTTCTTTAGTGTATAGACTTCCTCGTCTTTGCTCTGAAGATGTGCTGCTCACTCTCCTCGTCTTTGCTCTGAAGATGTGCTGCTCACTCTCCTGTCAGGGAGAAACAAGCTCTTGTGTCGTCCTCAGTTCGGCGCTGCTAATGGGACGTTGATGTGACAGTCTTTGAGCTTCCACGAGCTAAGGAAGGACATTCTTGTTTGTATTTTAATAGCATCTAGTCCCTATGGTTCCTTGTCTGTCATGTATCATCAACAGAGTAGTAATTCTACAACAAGTGGTCAGAAACTGGAGTTCTGTGGTAGAGCATTTCCCTAGCATGTATGAGGTCTAGAGAGATCCTCAGCACTGCACACCAACAACAATTGGAGTCCTGTGCAGAAAGTTCTTGCGTTTGCCTGTATCTTTTGTGTGTGTGTATATATGTGTATATTTTAAAATTTTTATTTTTGTTTTGTGTGCATTGGTACTTTGCCATGGGTGTTAGGTCCCCTGGAACTGTAGTTAGACAGCTGCCGTGTGGGTGCTGGGAATTGAACCTAGGTCTTCTGGAAGAGCAGTCTTAACCACTGAGCCATCTCTTCAGCCCATATGTATTGTTTTTATGTGTGTGTTGGGTAGGGGTGGGGTCTCTATAAGAATGTTGCGCCTGGAGCCAGAAGAGGGTGCTGGATTCTCTGGAGCTTGAGTTAAATGTGATTGTGGAACCCTAAGAACTCAGCCCTCTGCATGTACAGGGCTAGCTTTTACCGCTGAGTGCTCTCCAGGTGAGCACCTGTGCCCGTGTCTTCAGTGCTTCTCCGCAAGCAGTTTCAAAGCTTCCGGTGTTACGTGGACAGCCGTGATCTCTGATGACTTGGTGTCTGTTGTGTGAGAGATGCAGATCTAGCTTCATTCTCCTGCATGTGCTACAGAGGCTCTTGTTCAGTGTGTGCAGTTGATGGTGTCAGAGTGGGCTGTGATTGTGTGGGCTTTCTTCTAGTCCATGTGTCTACATATCCGTCTCTGCCCGTACCATGCTGTGTTTGTTACTATGGCTTTATAGTGCAATTTGAGATGAGGATCTCTAGCTTTGTTTTCCTTGCTGAAGAATGCTGTTGCCATTTGGGGCCTTTTGTACTTCCATATGGATTTTAGGATTTTTTTTTTTAAATAATTCTATGAGGAATATCCAGGATTTTGATGGGGTTCCATTGAGTTTGCAGATTGCTTTTGGTAATAGTCACACGTTAGTCTTCATGAATTCTTCCTGACCATTTATTTCTTCAGTGGTCTAAAGGTTTCTTGTTTGTTTTTATTTTTTGAGATGGGAGGTTTTACTGTGTCTCTTACTGGCCTGGAATTCTACATAGATATGGCTAACATTGAGCAGGGAGCTTCACCTGCCCTGACTCCTGACTGCTGGGATTAAAAGCATGCACCACCATTACCAGAGAAGTGTCTTACAGTTTCAGTTGTAGACATCTTTCAGATCCTACGCTAGGTTTGTTTATTTGATTAATGTTTTTTTGACAGGGTTTCTCTTCATAGACCTGGCTGTCCTGGAACTTGCTCTGTAGACCAGACTGGCCTTGAACACTCAGAGATCCACCTACCTGCCTTTGCCTCCTAAGGGTTGGGGTTAAAGACATGTACTATCATACCTGGCCTCATTTGCCTTTATTTGTTTGTTTGTTTGTTTTGTTTTTTGAGACAGTTTCTCCATGAAACAGTCCTGGCTGTCCTGGAACTCACTCTGTAGACCAGGCTGGCCTTGAATTTACAGAGATTTCGAGTGCTGGGATTAAAGGCATGAGCCATCACTGTCTGGCTTTATTTTATCCTTTTTTTAAGTCTTAAAGTTTATTTGTAGTTTATATGTATAGGTATTTTGTCTGTACGTATGTGCACCACATGCACACTCCTAGATATCAGGTATTCTGGAACATGAGCTGCCATGTAGTGCTGGGGACCAAACCCAGGTCCTCCAAAAGCACAGTCAGTGCTCTTAAATGCTGAGTTGTCTCTCCAGCCCATTTCAGCTTTCTGAGATGAGGTCTCGCTGTGTTGCTCAGGCTGGTCTTGCACAAACAGAACTTCTCTCTTCCTGACCTGTCTCATTAAACTTGTCAGGGATCAGCTGACCTTAACATAAGGCTTCATGCCAGAGTGAACTTACACTGCAAGCAGTGGACACAATGCTGATTACTGTAACTTTGTGGGCATACATTTTTAAGTCTTTTATTTTAGTCTTTTTATTGGATCATGTGTTTTGAGACAGAGACTTGTTCTGTAGTCCAGGCTGGCTTTGAATTCAAGTCTTCCTTTCCCAGCTTCATGAGTGTTGTGATTATAGGTGTGTGCCAATACTTACTTGGCATTTTTTTTTTTTTTTGGTAAATTTTATGTGAAATCAGATGTTTTTCTGGTCCTGTGCAGCTCCTTGGCTCTGGAGCTCCCTCTCCTGGTGCTTTCCTGCATTGTGTTCAAATTAGTTCTGTCATTTCTGAGATCTTTGGTAGAGAAGTGTGTGTTGGTTAAGTGTTCATGGCATGCATTGAACAGTTTTGGGAGCTGATTCTCTCTCTCCCGTAAGCTTTAGGGATCAATCATAGGTTGTCAGGCCTGCACAGGAAACCTGCTAAGCCATCTTGCTGGGCTCTTCTGCTTAAAAATTTATTTATTTATTTTTAAATATGTTTTTGAGATAAGATGTCCTATGTAGTTCAGGCTGGCCTTGAACTCCTGATCTTCCTTGAGCTTCCTAGCTCTGGACAGTGTGGAACTCACTGTAGCCCAGGCTGGTCAAGGACTTGGGCAGCCTCCTGCCTTTCTGTCTTTAAAAACAGTTTATTTTTTATTTACTTATTTTTCTAAGACAGGGTTTCTCTGTATAGCATTGACTGTCCTGGTAAGTCATTCTCACTCTTTAGACCAGGCTGACCTAGAACTCACAGAGATTTGCCTGTCTCTGTCTCCTGAGTGCTGGGCTTAAAGTTGTGTGCCGTCGCTTCTAGGCTTTAAAACCCGTTAACAAAAAAACAGATTTAACAAATTCCTATCAATATATTTTTATTAAATGTGTCTAACTTCCTTCTCTCTTTCTCCCTCTTCCTTCCTGTTTCCTTTTCGTTTGGTGCAAGGATTGAACCTAGTGCCTTGTGAATGCTGCTCGAGTGTTTTTTCTGCAGGCACCCTGCCCCAAGATAGTGTTATTTTTTTTTTTTTCCCTTTGAGATAGGGTTTCTCTGTGTAGCCTTGTAGACCAGGCTGGCCTTGAACTCACAGAGATCTCCCTACCTCTGCCTCCTAAGTGCTGGGATTAGAGGTGTGCACCACCACTACCTGACTTCTAAGTGGGTTGTGTGTGTGAGTCTGTGCTTTGTTTTTATACAGGATTTTTTTTTTCTCTCTCTCTCTCTCAGATTTATTTATTATGTATACAGTGTTCTGCTCCCATGTCTGCCTGCACACTAGAAGAGGGCACCAAATCTCATTACAGATGGCTGTGAGCCACCATGTGGTTGCTGGGAATTATTACTCAGGACCTCTGGAAGACCAACCAGAGCTCGTAACCTCTGAGCCATCTCTCCAGCTCCAACACAGGATCTCTTAGTTAGCCCATGCTGGCCTTGAACTTGAGATTTCTTATTTCACCTTCCTAAGGGCCAGGATTATAGGCTCTTTTTTTTTTAATTTATTATTCGCTCATATATTATATCCTGATTGGGCTTTCCCTCCCATCTCTTCTCCCAGTTCCTCTCCCCCACCTTCCCTCTCCCCTAGATCCACTCCTCCTCTGTCTCCCTTCAGAAAAGGGTTAGGCCTCTCCAGGGTATCAATTAAACATGCCATATCAAGTTACAGTAGGACTAGGCACATCCCTTTGTATTAAGGCTGGACAAGGCAACCCAGTAGGAGGAACAGTGTCTGAAAAGCAGGCAAAATAGTCAGAGACAGTCCTGTTCCCACTTTTAGGAGTCCCACAAGAACACCAAGCTACACAACCATAACATACATGCAGAGAGAGGGCCTAGCTCAGACCCGTACAGGCTCCCTGATGGTTGGTTCAGTCTCTGTGAGCCCTTGTGTCGTCCTTGACTCCTCTGGCTCCTACAATCCTTCATCTCCCTCTTCCACAGGATTCCCCAAGTGAGTGCCTTTTCTTTGTTATTTATGTATGTATTTATTATTTTTAATCATATGTATATATCTGTATGGGCTATATTCGTGTGAGTGTGGGCGTCCAAGGAGAGGTGTTAGCTATCCTAGAGCTGAAGTTGTAGGTGGTGAGCCTCATCTTGAGTTCTGGGAATTAGACTCTGAAGAGCAGTACATGCTCTTAACCTTGGAGTCATTTCTCTAACCCTCACCACGCTCCATCAATCTTTACAGAGAGACAGGATTCTCTGCAGGTTTATCAGTTTTGCCAGGGTCGTCATCATCCCTTATCCTCTGGGTTAAGTCTTCCTCTTTTGAGCGCAGTCTTTGTTACAAAGCCCATGTGTAGTGGGGGTGGTGCTTGTGTTGCGGTCTGGTTTGTCTCCAGTGTTGTTCGGTTACACTGTTACACTGTTGCAGATTGCATGGTTTCCAGGAACTCTCTAGCTTTGATACTTTGAATCCTTGTCAACGTGGATCTTCTCTGTCGCAAGCAGACTTTGCTGCTCACAGGAATTTGGGGAATACTGATCAGGCCTTTGGGACTTGTTTTCTTTCCCTTAGGGGAACCAGGAAGTGGGACAGAAAGTGATACTTCTCCTGACTTCCACAATCAGGAGAACGAGCCTGCCCAGGAGGACCCCGAGGACCTGGACGGTTCAGTTCAGGGAGTGAAGCCCCAGAAGGCTGCCTCCTCTACTTCCTCAGGGAGTCACCACAGCAGCCACAAAAAACGGAAGAATAAAAACCGGCACAGGTTAGTGGCAAGGTCCCACCCAGTCCCAGAGTTCTCGTGACTACTGGGAGGGATTTGGTTGGAATGAAAATGCCTGGGACAGTGACAGAGCCCTCATACTTCGGGTGGCAGAAATCTTCTGGTGCAAGTCAAGTGGGCTGGTGTTGTATGAGGGAGGAGTGGGTGGCAATAGAGAGGCCATGCAGGATCAATGGGAGCCCTGTAAGCCACCCGGCATCATGAGCATTGGGTCCTTTGCTAAGAGGAAAATGGAGATGGAATGACTCTGATTCTTGGGAAGCTGTGGCCTGGGATTGAGAGTTCTTTGAGTCCTGGGCCCTGTCTGCTGAGTTGCCATGCCTTCCTTGACTTTAAGTGCGGGTTTGGTTTTGATTGTTACGACTTTTCTATTTTGTAGTTCTCTGAGTACGCTGCCTTCAGATACGGGGAAACACTTAAAGCTCCTAAATGCGAGCATTCCTTCGTAGGAAGCACCTGAGCACTGCTCCTTTTGCAGTGGGAAATGAAATGGGGATGACACCAGTCCACAGAGAGGTCAGGTGTCTCAGGGGGTCTTAGTGGTCACTCTGCCTGGGTTTGTATGCTAATGCTGGGCCTTAACTCAGGGTAATGAGTCTGTAGGGCTCTCCCCCCTCCTGGTCTTGGAAGCCTGAACACTGTGGGCTGAAGGGGTGTGCAGGGCTAATGAGTTACGTTGCATTAGAAAGCTGTGGGGTGTCCCTTCCTACACCTAAAGTGTTCTGCTGTGAACGTCATAGACCTGGCACTGAGGCTAATATAGAATTATATTTAACTGGTTTTAAACCGCTTTGGTTTTTAAGTTTTTCTTGTTTTTTAAATTGCAGAAATAAGTATTTCCTCCAATTAAATAGTGCTGAAGGACCACCACTTTACGGTTTTCTGCAAACCAAAAACCACTGTTTTAATCTCAAAGTACAGTAAGAAGCAACAAAGATTTGCTCCCTACCATCTTGGTAAGGGTGTAGGTTTTTGGAGCATTGCCGTAGGCTTGGGGCTACCTTATCACAGAGAGTAGAGACCCATACTCTTTTTATAGAGTATTTTGTGGGCTGGGGAGATGGCTTAGTTTATAAAGTGTTTTCTCTGCAGGCATGAGGACCTTAGTTCTAATCCTGGCACCCATGTCAAAGCACTCAGTAAGTTGTATGTATCTGTAAATCCAGCGTTAGGGACAGTCCTGGGGGCTTGCTGGCCAACCAGTCTAATAGAAGTAATGGGACCCTTTCTCAAAAACTGTGTGGAGGGAGCCAACATTGACCTCTGGCTTCCATGTGCACACACGGTGTTTACACACAGATTGGCAAGATAATTCAATTTTTTTTTCTGTTGTTTTTATTACATTTATTTTCTTGTCATTTTGGTGATTCTTTTCCTATTTCAGAGTGTCTAGAGCAGGGAGAACATTCTTGAAAGCCCCTGGGACTCTTCATCACTGACCAGTGTCCTCTCCAGACCCTGCTGGTTTTGTGTAACACCTCATGTGCTCTAGCGATGTTGATCAGCTCTTGATTGGTGAAAGGTGCTAGAGAGGCATTCCATCCAACTGTGTCCTTGCAGGTCTCTAGGACACCTCCACGGAAATAACAGTTCTTATCCCTCCCTTTCCTGGCCCCAGGATTGAGTTCCTTCCGGAAACATACTAGCATTTGGAGAGATCATTGTTGGACACTGCTCTCCTAAGGGGCGAGTCCTTCTTGGAGGGTGTACTGAGTTTTCAATCTCCAGAATTCCCGATTGTCTGATGTCCTCCCCAGGCCTTACGTGCTCATTTGCCCCCAGAGAGGCTCGTGGCACAAGTTGCTTTGTTTCTTAGGAACTGGGGTCAGGACTGCCCTAAGTGGCACCTCAGTGGGCTAAGACTGTTGGGGTCCTGCCCTCTTTGCACACTCGAGGGCAGGGGTGGAGCACATTATCCAGACACGCTGTTGAGTTGACACCCAGAGCAATGCTTCCATCTCTGCTGTGCCCTGTAGTCAGGCCATGGTGACAAGATGTCCCAGGACTTGCCACGTGCCACCATTTGAGGAGAGACAGGATTGAACATAAAGTTTCATTCGTGCTAGTCAAGTGAAAATCACCAGTTTCCTGAATTCTTATATTTTACATGTCTGAGCAATAGTTAAGTCCCACTGTCTTTAAAGAGAAGAAAGTAAATGCTAGCTGCTCTTATAGGTTTTTACTATTACTTCAGACCCAAGATTTGTTTCTGTAAATCTTTGTTTCTTTTTAAGGCAGAGTTTCATTTATTATGTAGCTCTTGCTGGCCTCAAACTAATGTCTTCTGCCTTAGCTCTCCCCCCCCCCCAATGCAGGGATTACCACACCTGCCACCAAACCAAAGTTTGGCTAAATAGGTATACGTCTAATTTGTGGTATGTATTTCCATCACTAGGGATTGAACCCAGCATGTACCTACCAGTAAGCCACACCCCTAGCTAATTCCATCTGTTTTAATTTGTGAAGGTTCAGTTTGAGAGAAAACGTTTTAAAAGCCCTGCTTGAGTACTGATGTGTGTGTGGCCAGGAAAGTCTTAAATGAAATGGTTTTACAAATGGTGCTGAAATTCAGCTCTCATATGACTCTCACAAATGGGGTCTAGCATCACAGCCATTCCAGTGTCGTCTTCCTACCTGTCTACAGTCTAAAGTTGTCAAAGCCAGTGAGGAGCTGGAGTCAGATCCAGGCCGATGCTTGCTGTGGAGAGCTGTGCAGACCATAGCCTATCAGCGAAGACCTTGCAGAATGAATGGCCTCCTCTCCTGTGTGCTCATGGGTCCCGGTTTTCTTTATTTTACTGGGGGCTCTGCAGACCCTCGATTCCTTAGTTGCTGCACTGTTGTAAACAGTTAACTGCCATACTAGGCAAGGCATCACATGCCTACAGTCACAATTCCTGGAGGCTGAGGCAGGAGGACAGGACAGCAGGGTTGAGGCCAGTGTGGGCTATATTGTGAGACCTTCCCCATCTCATTAAAACCAACAACAACAAACAAAAGACAAAAAAAGCCAGTGGAGTGAGGTCACCAGTTTGGGAGGCTGAGGCTGTGAAAGCAGGACTGACTGTCACTGTAGTTCATGCAGTCAGCAGATGGCTTCCAGGAGGGACCCTGCAGCAGGAGCTGTTGGCACTGGACGTGTTTAGGACATGAACTTGAACAAAAAGTTACATTTTTGCTGTTTTCAAAGTGCAAAGTGTTTTGTCGCCTTTTGTTTTAATGACAATATGCTATGCCTACTTCTAGCATCTTCTGCTGTATGACTAAACCTCTCCCTCTCTCTTATCCCTCTCTTCCGCTCTCCTCCTTTTCTGCCCCCTCCTCTAATGCCCTAATTCTGTTTTCAGTACAGATGTCTTACCAGTTCTAACCCTGAGTCTGGCAGCTAACACAGGGCCGTGGCTGGCTGAGTGCTCTGATGCAGTCACTTGCCCTCCCGTAGTCTGCTCCCTGCTCTGGTCTGCACTGCGGGAAGGGAATCCCCTGACCACACAGACTTTAGTGCTTTCATGTTTGAAACCTTATGGCTTAAGATCCTTAAAGCTGACTTTGTTTCCACAAATCTTGCTAGGATGGCTAATCGACTAATTTATTCAATTAGTATATTAATTTCTGTTGCTTTCTTCCTCTCCAATGCTGCCCCTCAGCCCGTCTGGCATGTTTGATTATGACTTTGAGTAAGTTTGATTTGCATTAGTGTCTGTGCTGTGTTGTTTAGTGTGTAGACCCGGGATACCGTTTTGAGACCTTTCTAACCCATAGTTTGTCTGTTTGATTGTAGGTATGTATATTAGGTTAGGCTGGGAAGTTTTTTTTAAAAACAGAAAAACGTGATGGAGGTAACATTTTATTTAATAACTTAAGCAAAATTAAGTAAACTTCACTCTTATGCATTTTAATTTCTTTTTAAATAGATAACCTGTACTTTTAATTCATATTTAAATTGATTTTCTGGCTTTGCTTCATAAGGAGATTAGTAGCTTAAGATTTTGATACTTTGCTTTGAAAGATTTAAAAATTGAAATTCTTGTAATTTCTTTTGTGTTTCATATCCAGAAACACAAACTCCTAGTCTGATTGCTGTTGGTCACTGCGTGTCTCAGAGCTTCTCAGTGACATAGTTACAGAGCTAACACATTGACCTGAGCATGCCCTCTTAATCCAGTTTCTCTAATTTTGCAATAGTTTTCATTTAAAATTATGGCTTTTGTAACTGCTATGTATTTCCTTTTTGTGTCACCTCAGTTTTGCCTTATGGCAAAAGTATCTGCTCATATTTTTTTAATACTTGCTTACTACCTGAGGAAACAGCTAAATTATGACCTAGTCTAATGAAGAATGTGGACTTTAACTGAGTAGTAGCCTTTGTAGCTGTGCCCTATGCAGTAGCTGCTTGTTGCCCTGTTTCTGAAGTTAAAGTGCAAATCTCTTTGTATTTTTTCCACCACAGGATTGATCTGAAGTTAAACAAAAAGCCCCGAGCTGTAAGTATCAGTTAGATGACTCAAAGACTGGCTATGTCTTGTTTTTGTTTGTTTGTTTGTTTTTCATTGGTTTTGGTGGGTTCTAACAGGGCTCACCTGTGCTAGACAAGGGCCCAGCTAGGGGCTGATGAGCATGTAGGCAATTTTGGTTTTCAGAATTTGAAAACATAATCTAGGGTCACATTCTGGTTTCTAGACTCTGAGCGTCCATCTGGATACTCCAGCTTCCAAGTGTTCTTTAGTAAAATGCTTTAGAACAGGTGGTGGTGCACAACTTTAATCCCAGCAATCAGAAGGCAGAGGCAGGTGGATCCCTGTGAGTTTAAAGTGAGCCTGGTCTACAAAGTGAGTTCTAGCACCCAGGAACACACAAACCCTGTCTCAAAAAACCAAAAATCCACAAAAAACAGCAGAAATGGTTAGAGAATGAGTCACACATTTTTATTGAAGAAAACTGTTCTTTGTTTAATTCATACTAAATTATTAATGTTGGTTTTTTTGTTGCTGGTGAGTTAGTGAGCAGAATTGAAATTTCTGTTGATGGTCTTTTAGGCCTTGAAGGTGGATCACTGCACTTGTGAAATGTAGTGTATTATGCTTGAAATAGAACTTTTAGCTACACAGAAATTCCCTAGCACAGTTGTTTATGATATTCTTTTAAATGTTTACTCTATAGATTAAATTAGATAGTTTTCACCCAGTTGTATAATGTTCCTCAAGCATATTCCCTCCTAAGATTTAATATACACATATGACTATGTATATACATGTGACTTCTGTTTCATCTTTCTTTAGGACTATTAGAAGACTTGTTAGCAGCAGCTTCTTGCTGTGGAGCCCTGCTTTCCCTCTGACCTCACAGCGACAAATGTTCCTCACCTGACTGTGGCCATCCGCCTCTGCTTCCCCAGACCCAGTGCCTGTAACTGGCTAGTCTGTCATAACTGTAGTGACGAATCCTTTCTATACGATTGGGTCATTTGCTGTTGTCATCGTTAGTAGCAGAACAGCGAGCGGGAAGATCTGTCCTTGGTCCCAGTCCCCGCGGGTGGCTAACTGTGCATTTCTCCCTTCTTAGAATGAATGTCTCCCCCCAAACTGGCTGGCACCAGCTCCATCTGTGATTTTCCCCCCATCGAGAAGTGCACATCTCTGATTTTGTGTTATGCTGAAAGTAGAACCTAAGTTCCATTGCAGATGGAGGCTGTAAATATCTGCCATTCTTTTGTTTTGTTTTGTGTTGTATTATTTTTTTATTGTTGTTTTTACCATCTGATTTTCTTTTGGGACATTTTGTGATGCCTGTACCCTTCCTGATGACACATCTGAGCATCTGTTTCATGTGGTATCAACATTCATAACGGAAACTAAAGTGGCTTTCTAGAACTGAATGGGCAACGTGGCTCTTTGACTTTTTGATTTGTGAGGATGCTTAATAATGGCCTATTGGAAGCAGTCTCGTGTCAAGAAACAAGAACACTGAAAAACATGCATCATACTCTTAGAACAGACACTTTGATTCCTTTGTAGAAATAAAATGTCCTTGCCTTCCATTTCTCATGCTTTTCTTCTAAGCCTGAGATATTCTTTTCCATCTCCCTCTCCCCGCCCCTTTCTCTTTCTGAGACAGGGTTTCTCTCTGTAACCCTGGCTGTCCTGGAACTTGCTCTGTAGACCAGGCTGGTCTCGAACTCAGAGATCCGCCCGCCTCTGCCGCCTCAGTGCTGGGATCAAAGCCGTGTGCCACCACTGCCTGGCTCTCACCTTTTCTCTTTTTGCTGACATTCACCTGGTTAGATATTGCCCTAAAAATCACTGCGCCAATGGAAAAGCCCAGAAGGGGAGTGAGAGCTTTACAAGAGCCAGCACTGCCCTTAGACAGCCCTTCCTGCAGAGCTCAGTCCCTGCTCATGTCCTTGGCTGTTCTCAGTGCAGAGGCCTTGGCTGCACATTTCGGTCACCTGGGAAGCTCAACCTAATGCCGATGCCAGCATCCCAACCGCAAGACTCTAGGGTATGCCTCTGTGTTGGGGTTCTTTTACGGGGCCCAGGCTGCTGATTAGGAGCCTGCTTGAGGCCATTATGTTAGAAACTGAACCATACAGCCTGGGTCAGACGAGGAGTAAGGTTCAGGGCCTTGCCTGTCCTCTATCTATTCATAGTCTTTTCTTATGCCTGGGCCTTTGTAAGAGACTTGGGCCATCCTGGCCACACTGCTATCATATTACCAAAACAACTGTCTGATGTGCAGAAGCCGTTTGTTCTTGTTTGTTTGTACTTTTGCTTTTTGAGACAGGGTTTCTCTGTGTAGCTCTGGCTGTCCTGGGACTCACTCTGTAGACCAGGCTGGCCTCGAACTCACAGAGATCCACCTGCTTCCACCTCCTGAGTGCTGGGATTAAAGGTGTGTGTCACCACCGCCCATTTCTTTTTGTTCTTAAACTCCCATTTCCTTTGATGATTTCCCAATCTTTGGCCATGTCTTTGACCCCAGAACTACTTTAGGAAGTAGTTTATAATATGTGGGTTGTTCCTTAAAAATGAAACCCCAGAAGCATTTTGGATCCTTCCTTGTGAGTTTATTGCCTTGTCCTTAACTCTGGGGAAAGCGTTTAACTGACTTTAAAACATCTGTACCTCCGTAGGTGGCTGTGTGCTAGAGGAGTAGTAACTGCTCAGTAAAAGGTGTATTATTTATTTATTGCATTGTAGAGAGTGGGATATAGGACCTCAGTCTTGCTAGCCAAGTGATCTACACTGAGTAGTACCCTCCCAGACCTTAAATGTGTTATGTAATGGCATGACAGTGTGTGCGACTGTCCCTGTGTGTATGCAGATTGTGGCTTGTGGGCTATTTGCTTTATGCCTCCCCCACCCCATAAAAGGTTGAACCATTGATTGGGTCTTCTAGTTTTCCTGTAAACTGATCAGTGGTACCCAGGCTCCAAGAGATTACTTGCTTTTCCTATTTCGGGTGACTTAGAGAAAGGCATCTAGAAGCCTAGTGGTGTAGCTCAATTGATGAGGAGTGATTGGCATGCAAAGAGTCTTGAGGAGTGATCCTCAGCACCACATGAAGCTGGGCATGGTAGTGCATGCCTGCAGTCCTAGCTCCTAGAAGAATCAGAAGTCAAGGTCATCCCTGACTACACAGGCAGTTTGAGGTCAACCTGAGCCACAAGAAACCTTACTTTAAAAAAAAAAAAAAATAAAGACCAATTCCAATAGGTTCCTGCCTCTCTGTACCATACTGTGATATTAACTTTATCAACCAGGTTTGCTTACAAGTCATCGAGGGAAAAGAATGGATGTGCTTACACAGAAGAACATTAATCTCAGTGAATAGGATAGTCTTTCATTGCAGCCAGCCAGCCAGCAGTCCCTAAACTGCAGTGACCTAGGGCCCAATGTGTTGTGGGAGGAACTGCTTTAGAGGAGTAAGCTAACTCTAAATCAGGTGTGACGGCATACATGCCTGTAATCCCAGTGCTTGGGAAATGCAGGCAGAGGAGTTTAAGGCCAGCCTAGATGTAATTAGTGGCCTGTGTTGGAGGAGGGGGTAAGAAGCAACCGCCGAAAGGACAAAGGGTGGCACGCCTTGTTTTCTGCCACCAGGTATCCTTGTTGCTCTGTGCGTCGCTCTTAACACAGAAAGAGCTTGCCCTTGACCCAATACAAACAAGACTTCGCCTTTTGTGGTAACATTTTTGTCAGCTGCTTGGAAGACAGTCTAGCGTAAAGCTTTATGGGAGTGTCAGTGTACTGTTCCAAGGACTGAGGAAGCGGCCATTCTGTTTAAAGTCAGTGTTCCTAATACTCCTGGGGTGCATGAGGAGAATATGAAGAACAAGACCGGCCTACAGAGTTGGGGCCTGCAGGGGGGAACTTTGGAAGCTTAGGAATCGGGACAAGGCCAGTGTGGACCAAGAACAATGTTTTCCAACCTGCTATACTGATCCAGAGGCTCCAGGTCCCAGGAGCCTCACGGCACTGGGATAAATGGATCTGTTGCACGGGTTAGCCCACTTCCTCACACTCGGGTTTGTACTGTTTGCTTTCAGGAAAGAAAATCCTTTGTTCCAAGAGTAGGAAACAAACAGAGGGGGCTTCACCTCAAAGCTTTCAGTCCTGGGTATGGGAAGTGGAGAGGGTGATACTCCCATCTCCACCCACGCAGTAAAAAACAGAGCTCTAAAGAACCTGTGCCTGAAGTAGTTGGCATGTGTGTGGTTTTGGTTTTTTGTTTTTGTTTTTTGAGACAGCTTTGGAGCCTGTCCTGGCACTCTGTAGTCCAGGGTGGCCTTGAACTCACAAAGATCCGCCTGCTTCTACCTCCCGAGTGCTGGGATTAAAGGTAGGTGTGTGTGTGTGTGTGTTTTAAAGGACTCTCTGGCTTAGTTTTTGTATTTATTTGGTCTTTCCCACCCTCAGCCTTATTCCAAATCATGAAGGCATTTGCACACTTGCAAATTTTTTTCAGAAGCTATAACCTGATGGGAGTGGAGGACAGTGCTCGGTATACACAACTTGCTGCCAGCATGCAGCATGGGGCTGTGAATAGTGCCTAAGAAGGCTCTGTGTGAGTGTGTGTGTGTGTGTGTGAGAGAGAGAGGGAGGGAGGGAGGGAAGGAGGGAGAGCAAGAGTGAGTCCATGGCTTGTCAGTCTATCCCTGTGTTCAAAATGTGTTTCCAGGTCCCAGGTTTGGATCTTCAGGGTCAAGGCATCAGGATTCGAAGCACAGATTTCATTTTGAACACTGCTCTGTGGGGTCAGTCATACCGTGGTCTGAAAGGAAGCAGGTGCCACAGTGCTGGCCTTTTTATGTGTTCAAGGGAAAGGGAATGGGTGTGGATAGCTGGGGGTGTGGGAGGGAAAGACCAGATCTTGGAAGTGTTTTGTCTTTGGACCTCAGCCTTGTGTAGTTCTTCACTTTGAGTATGTTGTGTAATACATCTAAATATTAGTTCATTATTACATGTGGATAATTTATAAATAAATATTAGGTTGAACCACAAGAAACTGTTGATAGTGGAATTGTTTTCATGTATGAAAATGACTGCTGTCATGGTTTAATAGCATGTGTTGGAGGTGTGTGCCCTCCAGAGTTTTGTTGTTCATGTACAAGATTGTACTGTAGGCCCCTGGTCAGTGTTCCCCCAGATCTACACCTTCACCCCTAGATAACCTAGTCTGCATCTCAGGAAGGATAGGGGCTTTGAAATACGCCATCTGAATATGTGTCTCAGTTTATTGAGGCTACTATGACAATAACACAAACTTTTCATAATTAATTTTGTTTTTCAGATGGGGTTTCTCTGTGTAGCTTTGGAGCCTGTCCTGGAACTAGCTCTTGTAGACCAGGCTGGTCTCGAACTCACAGAGATCCACCTGCCTCTACCTCCCAAGTGCTGGGATTAAAGGCATGCACCATCACCTCCTGCCAGACAATAACAAACTTGATAGCTTACAAGAGGTTAAGAGCATTGACTGCTCTTCCAGAGGTCTTGAGTTCAATTCCCAGCAACTACATAGTGGTTCACAACCATCTGTAATGGGATCTGATACTCCCTTCTGGCCTGCAGGCATATGTGCAGACAAATCTTAAAAACAAAACAAAACAAACAAACAAAAAAACCCCCAAACTTCTAGAGGCAAGAAATCTAAGGTCAGGCTGCCAGTAGATGCATGTGCTTGGTAAAGAGTCTGGATCCTGGTTCCCAGAGGCCTTTGCTGCCTCCTTGAGTGGTGGGAAGGGAGCTCCTTCAAGCTTTTTGATAGATCACTTTGTAATTCTTCTGTAAGAGCCCCACCCTTTTGAATTCACCATCTGCAGGCCTTCCCTCTTGATAGCATCACCCTGGGGGTTAGAACTAGCATGGGTTTTTGGAGGAACTTTTAGCCATAGCAACATTCAAACATACACATTCAAACATAGCTGGGGTGTCTACAGTGGAAACTTTGGTTTCAGTCATCAGTGCTCTCTAGAGACAGCAGTGCTGTGTGTCTTGCAGGAGCTTTGTGGGGTCTGAGGAGTATGGACAGACTGTGTGCAAAGATGGTAAGGTGCTGGCTTTACCTTTCCTTTTAAAAATAGCTTCTTAGATTAGGAAATATCCCAAAGCCTTGGGCTGGCAAGATAGCTCAGCAGGTTAAGGCCATTTGCCAATAAGCCTCATGACTTGAGTTTGATTCTTAGGACTCACACTTTGGAAGCAAGGGAACTGACTCTCTCAAGCTGTCCACTTACACACTCGTATGTGTGCACACGCAAATACAAAAACATACAGTGCTAGGCTTGGTGGTGCACACCTGTAATCCCAACCAGCAAGTGACAAGCAGAGGCATACCTGCAAAACAAAAGCAAAACCAAATTCCAAGTCCACAAGTATC